CTATTCCTGGGTGATATTTTGACTTTTGGATTGGCTTGTGAAATCGCTTAGGCATATTACCACATCTCTGTTCTTCGTCAGACCTAATATTTTCTTTTGACAATTGATTGCATATTGGATGTGCGTTATAGCTTGAGGAAGGGATAAATAGACTTAGCATATTGTTTGCATGTTATGCATAGAAGGCATGTTAAGTTTAAGAGGTAGCTTAACTGCTGACAATGACCTATTAATTCGTATAAAGAGGGACTATCACTGAAGTGTTATTTGTAATTTCTTTTATGAACGATTGAGTATATCTTTATTTTTTATCGTTATTTTGACTTGTCAAAACCCACCAAGGCTTTGATCTTGAGGCTTGTTGCAGGCAAAAGTCCGGTATTTTAGTGGTGAGACTTATTGCTGGCAAAAAACTTGGTATTAAAGTGGAGAAAGATAGAGGGACAAGCACATTTCCACCGAATTTTGAACTGTGTCCCACTGGCCCTTGGGATTTTTTCGTTTAAAAAAGAAACCCACAGTACGACCAGAAGAAATACCTTGTACATTGTGCTAGAAGAGTGTTTTCCTTCAGGGTGCATTGCTCAGTGCTTGTTTTAATTTTTTTAGCTACTTTCCTCTTTGTACCAACAGAACCCAAGTTGTCTTGAATTTGTAAATAATAGTAAATTACAGGTTAATGAGGTATTTTTCCTTGATCTTTTCTTAAAGATCTTAATATGGACCTTAATCGCTTATCTTGCATATAAGTTACTTGCCTGCAGAGCTAAGATTGATAACAAAAATGAGACGTAGTGATATGGCCATTTATAATGAGTGTATTCTAGTGTTATTTCTTCTCCCTTTCAATTTCTCTGCCTTTTGACCATTGTAGACTCTCACTTCAAGTGGCTCACAAGATCAAGAGGCTGCCCATCTCATTCAAGAGAATGAAAAGCTCCGCGCACAGTAAGTGTACTCATAAATGAGTCTGTCATCTTCTCATAATGTGATTTCCAAATTGTGTTTTTATCTTGTTATATAGAAGAAAATGCAAGGATGACAAACACGTTCTGTAGTCTGACAACTTAACTTTTCTTTTCTCATCTCTCTTTCTTGTGAGGTCCATGAAGGGGTAGTGTGTTTACGTAGAAATAGAAGTATATTTATATCGCATAGGGATAATACATAAATTTCCCTTCAATTTTGGCTGAATTATGAACTACATATTTAAACTTGGGCGACCTATAACCCTCACGTTTATCTGCAGTAGAATTTTACACCCTTGAGCGCTATCATGAGAAATTCTATGCACCTCCACTGAGTTTGTGAAAAGTTGAAAAATGAAGGCAAAAAAAACTGATGTTCCTCCTGTCTCTTTTTTCAAAATTCGGTTACGGTTAGAAATATATCGATAGTACTTGTCAGAAAAAGCTGACAACCTTGTGCTTTATCACTCCTCCATCTAGTGATCAACGTGCCAGCTTCATGTCTTCACACCCCACTTACTCAAAACACACAGGAAAGCTTCTTTTGAAGAAAATAATAATAAACACACACTCAGTTTCAAAGGAAATTCCTGTTCACTCATACAAATTCGATAAATTTTTCTCCATATTGCACAGACACTCAGCTTTTTGTGCTAGCTCTTTTTCCCTGTTTTGTCCTGTCTTTGCACTCTACCTTTGTATTCCAAATCCCGTTCCAGTAATTTTGACCTCTTTTTTTTCCAGTCTATAATTCCTATTAGAAATTCTCCTCTAGCAACTTCCGCAGATAAGTGAAAGATTGTTAGAAGAGAAGGTAGATGAGCAAAGATTGTTAGAAGAGAAGGCCTTGTGCAATGAGGTGTTCAAGACAGTAGTAGGAAAACGTGATGTACCAAGCCACTTCAAAACATGCTTTGACTAAATGAAGTGTGTTATCTATACCTTAGCTTAAACTCTTAGAAACCACAATTTTATTTACTTAATTATGTTTTCAACACGTCCCTCACGTGGGAGCTTGATTTTCTATTTTTATGAGCCGAGCATGGGAATTTGATTTTTAGGTTGATGGGTGGCGATGAGACTTGAACCTAAGGATCTCTGCTATATCCGACAATATATTTATCAAAAAACTTAAGTTTTGTTAGAGAAGACACACTTTATTTACTTAATTATGTCTTCAACAGATCATATGGAAAGCTATTCCTATTTTAAAACTTGCAGAACATTCCAATATGTGGCATAAGCACATATTAACTTCTCAACGAGTACTTTAGCACGAAGGCCAAACAAAATCCACTCCCAAGAGACCCATTTTCCATAAAACGCCGAAATCATGTTCATTATATACCGTAACTGGTTAAGAAAACCCATTCCTTCACACTTCATAGTTCATACCAAAAAACAATACCGTCTTGAGAAGCAGTGGGTGTGGCAACCATGAAGAGCTCTATTCAAGGTCCTAAGCATTTGAGAGTTACAGACCATATTTTCACCGGAAATGTTTGTGTTTGCGCGGTCAAAAATGGGATATTGGGGTATGTTTTTCACGGAAAAGTTGATAGATTTTAAGGATTTCTTTTCAAATCTTTGGAACATTGGAGTGTGTAGCAGATGACAATCTTAGTTGCGGTGACTCTTCACTTTTGATGCTACACCCGTCTCGAATTCTTCAAAAACACTATTTTTGGCGAATCCGGCACGCACCCGTTGACATTTTTGAAGAATCCGAGCAACATAGATGACAGTTATAGTAAAAAATCAATTTAGAAGATGACCAGAGATAAGGGTAAAAATAAGTGAAAAAAGGAGGGGGGACATCACATTTTCAATAATGAGAGAAAGCAAGGGTTGGTGACCTCGAAACAAGAATTTGCTGCCGACTTCAGGCATGACTTGCGCAGGAAGTTCTTTCAGTTGGAACAAGTGTAGTGCATGACTTGCATTGTTCCATTTTAGTATGTTTTTTGTTCAGGGGTAATGATTCTACTTCAGACAAGTTTAGGGAGGGGTTATAGGACTTCTCAAGTTAAAGTGTGTAGTTGAAAAATGTAACATGTTGATGGGTGTAGTTTTTGTATTATCCCGTACGAAAAATATTAAATTCAATTACTATGTCAAACAAGTGTTTGCAGCACCATTGTGTATTTGTAAAATATATTTGTTAGACTACTTCGTTCCTGTCCCAGGTGCTGTGAATGTGAGAAGAGAGAGGAAGAACTTCATTCAAAGGTGTGTTTAAGTAAACTTGTCTCCTTTATTAACTCGTCAGTAGTTGAAAGTGACCTGATTTCAAAATGAAAATTTTCACGTCTTTTTCATGTGGTTGTTGCAGGTTAATAAGCTTCGGAAGGAGCTGAAAGAAGCACAACGTACCTATGCACATATGCTAGTGGAATCAAGGTTATTAGACAAAGTCAAACCTGAAGAAGATGTTTATATTTAACGAAGTGCCCGTCCTTGTACTACAGTTAGCTCTCCAAATTAAAATTTATCTTAGCTGTTGATAAAATCTTGTTCCTTTCTCTGTTCTGACGGAATATTACCATGATTCTTGTTTTCTTCTTTCGTTTATGTAACAAAATGGAACGTAGAAACAAAGTTTTCATAGATTAGAGTATGTCCCATTGATATCTTTGTGACCAAATAACCATTTCTTTTTATATTTTTGAACTTGTAACTCATATTACAAGTTAACTCATATGAAGATGCATGTGTTTCTGGAATCAACTATGGTTACTTTATCAATTAATTGGGAAATAATGGTGCCTTCTTTACCATCATTACTGAGCTGTTAAACTGGACTTTGTGACTGTAGAACCCAAAGGTACGACAGGTTTATTCCACGAGTGGAGTCTAGGGATGGTGGCGTATATGCAGCCATATCCCTACCTACCTAGTGAAGGTAAAGAGGTTCGACAAGTTTGTTGGCAAGAGGTTTCCTTTTTCTTTTACATATAAAGTGCAAAAGATTATGCCACTTTTGGGGGAATAATATAAAGAAAGATAATTTTATTCTACTTTACCTGGATCCTTGTCTTGCACTAATAGACACCTTCTTACAGGAGCACTAATAAAGAAATCTCCCTGTCATAGTTTGATGGGACACTACACTTGTAACGAGATATCTAGGCATATGTGTTTTGTCATTTTCATTCATTTATCATGTCAAGTCTCATTCTTATTCTCTTATTATTGCTTCTATTCTACTGTCTTTTCAAGTACTAAATCGATCTAGTTGTTGGAGTGGGTCTCACTTGATAAGCCAGGTGTTTTCTCGTAAGAAATTCCAGTACAGCCATATTACATCTAAGTAATTACGTGCAACTTATAAATTATTCTTTCTTTAAGACCTATGAAGTTAATAAAAATTGAAAAGAAAAATCTTTTTTGAATCTTGTGGTCTTAAATTAAATATAATCTAAATATATTAAATTGTCATTAGTTTTTGTGATTTTAAATATATATCATTTGAAAAGTTTAAGTTTCTTAAAAGGGGGAAAAAAGGCCATTCGTTTTGAAAGAGATTAAAAATGAGTTGGGTCAAACAAATAGAAATAGATGGAGGATTAAACAACATCTCTATCCTACAAAAATAGAGGTAAGGTTTACTTACACCTCCACCCTCTTCCAATTATACTTGTGGAATTTCGATAATTATATTGTCCATGTCAAAAGTGTAATTAAGTAGGTAAGCAGTCGTTGAATGGTCTTTTTAGCAAGTTTCATTGGAATTTCGATGATTATATAATTCATATCGAAAGTGTAATTAAGTATACAACTGATCGTAGAATGGTCTTTTTAGTAAATATTATTACAATTGTAGAACCGTTGAATCTTCCTCATGAACCCTTCATCCCACTTTCGATGAATATAAATTATATGAAAGATTAATATGTATAAATGGAAGTAGGTGGGAAAAGAAACATGACATATTTGCTAGTCTAAAGTGAATAATTGTTGCTTCATTTAAGGTGTAACAAAATAAAAATCTAATTACTCCTCATTTTAAGCATGCGCCGAATGTCCCAATATAATTATGGAGAGTTACCTAGAACAGAACGACACCGTCTTATTTTCTACAACTGGAAAATCAGCTTTTGAGGCAGCTTTCAACTTTACTTATATTTTCGCTTTTTTCCCCAGTTTTCATGCATTCATCACATAGAAACAGACGTCTAAGCAAAGTACAAAACTTCCTTCCATTCCTCTCAATAAACCCTAATCGGTAACACTCTGATTCGCCAGATTTTCTCTCTGTTTTCTATTAATTTTCAGTGATTAATCGTTTGTTCTTCGTGCTTTTGATCTTTTTTTTTTTAATGTACATGTATACAGTAATGATCGTTCTAGTAAATATATACTAGTGTTTACAATTGTATAACTGGGTTGATAAAGCATATTAAATTGTGATATACTAGTGTATGAAAATTGTGATATACTAGTGTATCTGAACTGATGAATGAATGAATGAATGTGTAGGGATTATGTTAGTTGATGTACCCTGTGTGTGTTCTTTTATACTTTTTAGGGTTTACCTATATTTTTCTTATATTGTTTTTATATGACAATGGAAACTTGTGGAATACATTGGGTATGTTGTTGTTATTGATTATTGTGGTCGTTTTGTTGAAATTTGAATAGGTGGAAGAATTGAGAGAATGAGTAATGCAAAGAGACTAGATGAGAGCTTGAAGACGTTAGAGGAGGGCATTACGAAAGTGAAGTTGATTATGGATGGTTACCCTGCCAGTAAGTTGGTAACATCAGAAGAATACATGAGATATTATGAGTATCCTGGAAATTTGTTATGATTTACCTTATTCTTATTACTAGTAGTATAACACTATATTTTGAGGTATTGCTACTAATATAACACTACATTTTGAGGGGAGAACGGAGATGTGTTTTTTTTAAAAAAATTGTAACTGAGAATTCCCTGACGCAAGTGGCAGCCAGCAACTAATACCTTGATTAGCTAATGATGGTTCAAATCTTTTTGTTTCTTGATTTTCGCCTGATGAAGATGAATTTTGCTTGGATTTTGGAATTACCAAAGATGAATTTTCTCTCTTTATGTCAATCAATTTGCTGTATATCACTGGTAGACGACATTGTATGATCTATTTGGTTTTGTTTTTGTCGTTATTGCATTTTCCTTTTAAATGAAGCAACAAGATTATGAAGATTCAGATAGCTGACCCCAACTTCTTTTGGGACTGAAGTGTAGTGGTAGTAGTAGGTATTGATGTTTGTGTTTCCCTTTCTTTCGGCTGTTTGTTTGATCCTTTCTGTTTGTATTTTCCCTGTTGGTATTCTAATTTGTTTTACATTAAGCTGATGGTAATTATAAGTACAACAACCATGGCTTGTTCAAGTAATATGCATATAGGTTTGATCAAAATGATTTGCTGTTTTATTGTCTGAAATACTATTTTAATCTTCATTTGTGCAAAAAAAGAGATGCAAGAGAGGTTCATGCATGTACATTCACCCAACTTGTTTGTATGTCAACATCAGCATGGCTTCTACCAGCTTATTAGCTAAAGATAATGATTTCCGTGTTTCCTGATTTTGCAATTGTCAATTTTACGTGAAACTACCTGAGGGTCAGTTTTTCACTTTTTTTCTTTAGTTGCATTGGAGTACTACCCAAATTAATTAGATCTAAGACTATGTTCCTTTCACTAATGATCCAAGTGACGTGTTAGCATATCTTTTATTATTTTTGCATTTATACTTGTCCTGTTTGTTTAATTCTTAGGTAGCAATAATGTAATATAGTCCCAGAAATTTGGTGCTACTATTTTCCCTTTCAGTTTGCATCTTTAACACTTGATAGCTGTGTTTATCGCTCGTGTATTCAACCTCCGCCACATGATTTATCAGCAGAACTTCTTCAAAAGTATCATGCTGTCTTGGATGAGAGTATACACTTCAAGGTTAGTTTTATGGACCATCAGTGGGAAACTTCATTAAAAAAATCATATTTTCTATGAACAACTTCAGACTTCAGTGTTATCCTAACTATGACTACATCTGCTAAAATATCTTAATTCAATATGAACTTATTGTCTTATTTTGGTCAGTAGCACACAAGAAGTCACTCTTTACATTTTGAACAGGTAGAATGCAAAGGATGTGCAGTTTATTTCTGTTTGTTGGTTAATTTGAATATAGAATGCATCATAAAATTGTTTTTTCTTTGTAATATTGTAGCTAAATGCTGCTGAAATTCTTTAGTAACAAAGATGACTTGTCTAAGGAAAACTTTTTCACTCACACACACCAAAAAAACGAATAAGAGAATTACTATCAGAGCCTCAGCTGTTCAAAGAACATTTTCCATTTGAGCAGCTTAAGTTTAAGAGTATACTCGGTGGTAAGGTTAGTAAGTGATCTAATGTGCTCTTTGACGCAGTCGACCTCTGTCATTATAATTGTGATTTGACTAAATTACATTATTTAGAGAGCTTATATTCTCAAATGATGAATTTTAGACTAGAGATTATTTTAGCTAAGAGAAAATGTTGGTCCTTGATTCCTTGTCTCTTGAACTTTGGCCATGATTGCAGACTAAAACATTTAGTAGTTTCCAGCTGCATCTGCACTTGGTAGTAAAGCAATGTAATGAATGTGGGTTTGTCTATTATTAGCAACTTCTCCTGGTCTTACACTGGCTAATATCCTGTGTTGAATATCACTTTCACTTTGCTTCTAGGTTCTGCCTTTTCTGAAAGATAAGAGTGGTACCTCTCTGTTAGCTGAATTCTTACGTGTCTGGGCAAATTACAAAGCAATGGTGAAGTGTCTCGGAGGGTTTTTCCTTTACCTTGATAGAAAATGCAGTGATCAGAAAAGTTCTGCACCCCTTAAAGAGGTTGCTCTTTCTTGTTTCCAGAATAGGGTAAATGTCTCTGTATATACTACAGAAAATCGTCTCCAGTTAATTTTTTGTAGAAGCAGAAACTTCGTAATATACTGATTTTCATTTGTCCATTTCAGGTTTGCTGTGATCTCCTTCCAAAACTTTTTGATGCTGCACTTTTACTGGTAATTTGAAGTAGCATGTCAAGTTTGTTTGTTGATTTCAACTATGAACAACTAGTTATTTACAGTATGCCACATGTAGATAAGTCAAGACCGTAGAGAGGAACCAATTGACAGGAGCCTACTACAGGGCCTCTCTACATTTTTCTGGGAAAATGGTGGGCCACAGAAAGGAACATACTATTACATGTTTGAGGAGAAATTGCTTGCAGATACAAACAGTTGCTACTCTCGATTTGCCTCAGAGTGGCTGTTTAGCTATTCTTCAGCAGATTATATATTGAAGGTTTCTATGCTTGTCTTGAAAACAGCAGTGTGCTGGATGAATTTGTTTCTTTCAGAGGATTTCTCATTTCTAACAAAATGTTCTTCTCTACTATTGTTCTAATTAAAGGTGCTATTGTTAGGTTGAACGGTGTTTGAATGATGAAAGAGGAAGGTTGAGTCAGTACCTGTATCCTTCCTCTGTAGAGAAGCTACTTCAGGTACTGCTGTTTATTTCTCTACTTACAGTTTGTGATCAAGTTCTTAATATGTTACTTGATGATGTGAGCTAAAGGATTCATATCTGTGTATGTTTCGCTGAACTTGTCTGTTCTTATCATAACATTGATAAATATGATGCAGTCTTTATTTTGAGGGTATAAAGGTTCTATCCGCCTTGTTTAGTATTCTCAATGTATAAAATTCGTAATCATTGGTTTCACATAATTATGCTTTTATTTTAAATTTTTTTTGAGAAGCTAAGCGTCTGGTTTCATGGGGTTAATGTTAGTCTCTAATCGGACATGATCACTTGAGCATTGTGTGTGGATATGTTGCATAGCTTGAGGTGAAAAAATTAATTTCTATGAAGTAAACAGGTGCACCATTGAGATAACAAAAATAGATTGGTTAGCTCCAGGTAAGTAAATTAAGTTAAATCTAGGGAGCTAACAAAATTATCCTGGGCTATTTACAGTGGTCAATTTTGACCAACTAGATAGGTTTGTAAGACATCTAGCCTTCAAGAAGTAATTTGGAGTTGAGATGCAATCAAAACATCTCATGTTCAAAGATACATGACTATCGATATTTCTTCACTTGGATTTAGCTGACTGTTAAGTGCTCGTTGAAACCTGAAACTGTGGCTTTAGCACTTACGACTAGCTAAATTCTTAAGTCAGAAACCTCCCAGACAGACCATTGCTAACTTATTTTGTATTAACTGCTCTACATGGGAGAACCATGAGGATAGACCATTCTTCTTGAGTTGCATATGCTTAAATGAAGCCACAACATTGTGCCAGCAAACTTTTAATCAAGTGTATCTCTCTCAAGAAAAATATACCTTTTAGCGATACTTTTTGCCCTAATGTCGCTTGGTGGAAGAATGGTTGTTCGTTTCCTTTCTATGTTACCAATAAGTGAATGCACCTGCTCAGGAGTTGATGAGTTTTGTGACTGGACCAAACCCTGCAAAACAGTACACAACTATAGTTCTTGAAATAACTTCTCCAAGTGCTTCTCATATCCATGCCTTGCAGTTGATTTAGAAACCATTAAATTGTACTATCATTCTGAAGGACGTTACTTTTTGAGAGAATGGGCACTGTAATTTTTGGTCACCAAATCTTTTTCATTTGATAAAATATGTTAGTGAAACAACTCATTGCATCTAATGGGTATCAATGGAACTACATAAAAAAAAGAATATCAGTGGACCAGTTAGTGACTCTCAACTAAAATTCTTTTCAGGTTGTGCATCTGAAGTTGAGTGGTGAAACTAGAAGCCAGCTGATTGAAAAACAGAAGGCTGAGAACCTTAATTCAACAAAATATCAGGTTGCTTCTTTTTATTAGTCTCTATATGCTAAAAGAGAATACATATTAATGCTCTCAATGCACCTCCTTCAATTTTATATTGCATCAGTATCTGCAGAACATCACAACTTGCACCACCATTGTCTATATCTTACTTGGGAAGATTAAAATGCATTGTTCTGTATCATTTAATGTGGACAATTAGAAAGTTGAGTTTCAGGACTCGTGAGATTTAGATGATCCTGATTCTGGTGCTGTGATGTGTGTGAAATTTTTGAAAATAATAACAAACGTGGGCTTTAGGACAAAATACTCTTAGTAGCCTTTTTAATTGCTACATTATAAGTCTCTTTGTCGTTGAAACAAATCAGATCTTGCAAAATTTTCATTAGATTGCATGGTCTTTCATTTAAACTGAAATTCACAGTTGAAGAATAAGAAAAGCCTAGTACCCGAGGTTCCTCCTGGATCTTAACCCCTGAGGGAGAACATGTGGTAGTTCTACAGAGCAGTTTTTATAACATTACTTATACGTCCTTACTGTAAAAAATAATGACATATAAGTAATTTCTGATAACATTGCTTATTTTGAATTTCGTTACAGGAATTATTGTCCAGATGTTCCAATTTAAGCATTGGGTAAAGAAGTGACATTTTTTTACCAGCATTATAGTGTCAGTACCCCAGGAAAGGGAACAGAAAACACTAACAAAAAGCCCAACAGTGTTACTGACCAGTGAAGATTTTGATGAACTCTCACACAATCTATTTTTTGCGGCTCCACTATTGGTGCTGTTTGGAGTTAGGTCCTTACTTCCTTTTTTGGCAATACTCATATCTGAACGTGTCTAGGGATTTAGCAGGGCAAACATTTTTACTAGTTAGGAGTAAATATACTTTACTAATTTGCACATTTCTGCAGTATATGCTATACATCTCTTACGGGGGAGAAGATACTTCTTAATTGAACAGATGCAGAAATCTCATATGTATTTTGCCGACTGAGGAATGCAATCACAACTACCAAAAAACTGCAATAGCTCAGATATTATAACAGACTTTGCTTCGACATATGCTTTATCCTTTTAATTGCTTGTATATAATTTGATGTAGTTTCAATTTGCCTACAATCTTCATGAGCAAGAAAGTTAACCAGTTTGCTGTCTTTGGCCAGATCTCTTGGTCGTTCTCTCTTTAGAATGACATTGTTCAGTGAGTTCACATGCAGCATATGAGCTTGTACAGAGTATAGCTTTTATATGCATAAATTGAAATATCTGTTGAACAATATCAGTATCTAAGTTTCGAGCTCTGGGTATCGTATCCTTCATTTTTAGCTCCGTCCATGATCTCTTCAATGGTTTCAACTGGCCTCTTCGTACGGTTGGATTTATTCCAGACATGATGTTGGGTAGGTCCAAGTTGGGATATGGGCAGGGCAAGTTTACAAATAACAGCCTGGCGGAACATTGTCTAAAGAAATATAGTTGAAAATTACTAATCATTTTATATATATATTGAGCCATTTCATAGTCAAATTCAGACCTGTGATTGAAATTTGAGAATGTCAAATCTAACTTCAAATCCAAATGATTGAAGTTGAAGTCAAACATCAGTTTTTTGGGTTTGAATTAGACTTGGCAGTCCCCAACTTCAAACCTTTTGAATTAGGGTTTTTTTCAAACTTCACTGGCCTTATGTTGTACAAATAAACAAATCTTTTTTCCTCTCACGTTAACGGTGAGCAATCCTAAGGTTTGTTCATTTCTTCACAAAATGATATTCAATTTTGTGTGTAAAAGTTACTCGAGTCGAGAACATCTCAATCTCTTTGTGGTAAGAGCAAGATCTATGTATACTTTACTCTCTTTACATCTCATGTTTGGAACTATATATGACTTCTTGTTGTAAGAAAGTTGTTATGAAGAGGATAAAACGGAGACACAGACGAATTTAACGTTTATAACACTAGCTAAATTGTCAATTTGTCTTATTTCCTTATTATCTTCTTTTTGACAACTTTCACACAACAAAAAATTACGTGTAGTCCTAAACATAGGGTTTGGAAGGAGTATAATATACAAAGAAGAAAAAAATCACGTGTAGTCCTAAACATAGGGTTCTCAACTTTGATCATCAATGAGTTCATCAAATAATCATATATTACTAAAAGCATGAACAAAAAAGTTGAAAGTTGAATTACGCTTTTATCCTTACTATAAATTAAATTGTTAAAAATATTTAATATTTGATTGTATAAATTTAATTAAATGTTAATGACTTTTAGACTTCCTAAGATTAATTCCTAATTAAATATCTAATCTATTAATATTTATCATCTATAATCTATATGTATATAATAATTATAATTTTTTTTAGAAAAAATCTTTACCTAAATTTCTTTTCTTTTCCTCTTCTTATAACTTTTTTCTTAACCCCTCTCATGAATAATACAATTGATGTGGATAAAGTATTATTCTTTATGATAAATAACGAAATTTGATAATTTAAAGGGTGCAAATCTATAAAATGGAGACGCACATTGATAATGTCCTCTTGATTATTATATTAAAGAATGACTCTAACTTCACAAATTTAAATTTATTAATGCTTAATTACATGATTAGAACTTTAGTTGTTCTTTTTACATGGTTTGCTAACTTTAATTTTTTTTTCATATTCTTTCATTTATTTATTATTATTTTCTAATTACTTATTCAACTTTTATACTCTTAATATTCATAACTCTCATCTTTTCATATTCATAACTTCCAAATATTTTAACTAAAACTTTAAGATATCTTTTGATATTCCTTCTATTCTATTTATATAAATTCAACTTCTTTATCTCATGAAACCCCTACCAAGATTATTAGGATATTATTTTTATTCTATAGTAAAAACAGATGATGAAAATTCTTGAATTTTGATAGGATATGAAAGGAATCGATAAAAACTGAGAGAGTTATGTACTAATTTTGTACTTATTTTTTCATCTATATATACATCAATCTTATAAGAATAATGTCATGAAAGGAATCGATAAAAACTGAGAAAGTTATGTACTAATTTTGTACTTATTTTTTCATCTATATATACATCAATCTTATAAGAATAATGTCTATATTGTATTTTTTCTTAAATATTCTGTTTCTTTTTATATTTTTTTTCACTCAGTTAGACTTTTTAATTTAGTTTTCTATGAATGTTTTGTTGCCGTAAGTCTTTGAATTTTGTAGTTGTTACATTTTATTATTCATTACAATTTTTTTCATATATATATATATTTCTATGAGATTTTAGTTATCCTAACGTATCTATAAAAATTTATCCTAACGTATCTATAAAAATTCACATGAAACACACGTGCGAAGCACGTCCTCAGAAACTAGTATTACTAAAAGCATGAACAAAAAAGTTGAAAGTTGAATTACAATTTTATCCTTTCTACAAATTAAATTATTATAAAATATTTAAATATTTGATTGTATAAATTTAATTAAATGTTAATGACTTTTAGACTTTCTAAGATTAATTCCTAATTAAATATCCAATTTATTAGTATTTATCATCTATAATATGTATGTATATAATAGTTATAATTTTTTTTTTAAAAAATCTTTACCTAAATTTCTTTTCTTTCCCTCTTCTTATAACTTTTTCCTTAACCCCTCTCATGAATAATATAATTGATGTGGATAAAGTATTATCCTTTATGATAAATAACGAAATTTATGATTTAAAGGGTGCAAATCTACAAAATGGAGACGCACATTGATAATGTCCTCTTGATTATTATTAAAGAATGACTCTAGCTTCACAAATTTAATTCATTAATGCTTAATTACATGATAAGAACTTTAGTTAGCTCTTTTTACATGGTTTGTTAACTTTAATTTTTTTTTCATATTCTTCATTTATTTATTATTATTTTCTAATTACTTATCTAACTTTATACTCTTAATATTCATAACTCTCATCTTTTCATATTCATAACCTCCAAACATTTAAACTAAAACTTTAAGATATCTTTTGATATTCCTTCTATTCTATTTATATAAATTCAATTTCTTTATCTCATTAAACCCCTATGAAGATTATTAGGCTATCATTTTATTCTATAGTAAAAACAGATGATGAAGACTCTTAAATTTTGATAGGATATGAAATGAGTCGATAAAAACTCAGAGAGTTATGTACTAATTTTGTACTTATATTTTCATCTATATACATCAATCTTATAAGAATAATGTCTATATTTTATTTTTACTTAAATATTCTATTTCTTTGTCTTTTTTCACTCTTTTAGACTTCTTAATTTAGTTTTCTATGAACGTTTTATTGCTGTAAGTCTTTGAATTTTGTAATTGATACATTTTATTATTCATTATAATTATATATATATATATTTCCATGAGAGTTTAGTCATTCTAACGTATCTATAAAAATTTACATGAAACACACATGCGAAGCACGTCCTCAGAAACTAGTAAGATAATATGCACGGACATATTATTTTGCTTCTTTAATTAATAGGATATTTCTAACCTTTTAGTAAACTAATGCACGATGAGTTTGTTTATAATTAAATTCGTGTTCAATGTGATAACATATATGGACTTTTACATTAATATGATTTTTTAATAATTTACCTTTTATAATGTTGTAAGAAAACAAATCTCTTAAATATGAGAGAGAAAATATGGAAAAGCAAGAATTCTACAAATCCTCTATAGATGTTCAAATATCATCTTAGATTTGCATAATTCTCAATTCACCAAACCACATCTTTTTTAAATCAAGATTCAAATAACTTTTTCCCCTAATAGTTCTCCCCCTTTCTTTACTAGTTGAGTTGAGGAGGATGCTCAAAATATATACCTAATACAATCTACTGATTATTTTAATTTTAAAAAAATGATTGTTTTGCCCTATAATAAAAAAGTGAATGAAAATACTTTAATATTTATATCGCTAATAGGAAAATATTGCACTATTTGGAATGGGATTATAATGAAAAAATGATTAAGTATTGAATTTTAAAACATCTCAAAGATAATTTAGTCGGGCAATTATAGTAATCGTTAAAAGAAAAAAGAATTGTTAGAGTAATGAACTTGTATTACCGTATATAATATCAAATCAAAGTTTAAGGTACCTATGTTATATTGTCAAAGCAAATTTTAATGTGTGATATTTAATATCTACTTTTAACTAATGATTACCGAATTATCAAATTAAAATTTAAAGATTTGATACTTGACACAATTCGGCATAAATTGATACCGACACACCTCAGAATTTGGTAACTTCACCTCCATTAACAACTACTTATGAATCCTTTTTCGGTTTACACCTATTATCTCAAGTTTTGAATCGAACTAATCCATTTTGACACAAGTAAAAGAAGAACAACAAGATGAAACCCCAAATTCACACAACATACCAAGATGATTGCTTGTGAAAGCCTTGGATCTGGACCAGACATGTATACATGATTTTTCGAGTCTGATATTCCCAGCATCTCGTAGAACATGATTATGTAATGTAGATTGTTCAGAAGGGTCTAAATAAGAAAAGGAGTTTTCATAATTTCATTTTTTTAATTCTAAGTAATCGCTAACAAGAATTTGATTCTTTTACAAACTTAATGTTGATAAATATGTGAATTTATAAATTTATTTTGGCCAATTATAATTTCTCGAACTCTTTTTTTTTTAAATTGTGCTAAAATAACAGATGTCAAGAAGAACAAACGTTCTTTGGACACATTCCATTCATGTGACCCACAAAACAGGAAGAGAAAGTTGCATAGATTATCAGGTTATTTATCTACCTTTAACTATCGATTATCAAATTATCGTATCAAAATTTAAAAACTCGATACTCGATATCTTCACTAATGATGATTGAATTATCAAAACCTGAAATTTAAAAATTTCAAATCGAATATCAACCACCGACTCGCTTAATTTTCAAATGACTATAACAATCATTTCTCCATATATATGACCTTAGAATTAGAACTTTTAATTTAATTTTCCTTGTGTTTTGGGTTGAATTTTGTTGCAAAAAGTGTAATTAATAATCCCTATAAAGATAGTAGGCTCTAACTTCCTCCTTCTCTCTTCACCTCAGCTGCACATCCGTACACGTAATCTTTTTTGTACATGCACGCACATACATACAATTATTTCACCATTTTTTTGTTTTTCTTTTTTATTTTATTTTTTCTCTCTTTTTAACTTATTTTTTGCCTTTTTCTCCATAGATGATTCTCTCTTCTCCACTTTCCGCCACATTGCACACAAACTTCAAAGATCTATTATCAATGTCGATACTATCTATCCTTACTCTTAAAAACTGAATTCTTTTTTTTTCTTATCTTTCCAAATTCTGAATTTAGGGTTTTCTTGCTCTTGTTCGATTTGTACGGAAAATCTCTGGATTCACTGCAGATCAGACTTGGAATTGCATTGTTTTTGTTATATTTTGTGAATTGATGATAATTTA